TAACGTGGTTTAAATATTCTTATAATGTTAAAATCATTTATTTCTTCAATTTTTGGGATTATTTTTATACATTTAGCTTTTAATTTGTCAAAATTTATTTGGGATAGTGAAGAAAATTCGGAATTGAAATGTGAAATTCAAGAAGCAAGACCAAAGTTAAAATATTGGCTCTACAGGGAAAATAGTCGACATTATCATGTTTTTGAGACAATTGAAACAATTTTGAAAAATTTCAACTGGGAGGGAACAGAAGTTGATTCATCGACATCTGCAACCATTCACTACGATTGGGACTTACTTTGGGCTTTCGAATATATTAGACAAATCCCACTTAATTACTCAAAGTTGAAGCATTATCAAAGAATCAATCACATCCCAGGAAACGTTCATCTTGTATTGAAAAGCTACATGGCAGTAAATACTGATTTGAAATATGTTCCGAAAGCTTTCACAGATATCGAAAAGTTAACAGAATATGCGAATAAAAATCCAGAGAAAAGATTTGTTGAGAAATTCAAAGCAAATCGTGGAGTGTCCTTAAAAAAAGTTAGCGAAATGAATTTAACAGACACAAACAATATTTATGAAGATTATTTTGCTCAAGAATATGTTGAAGATCCTTTTCTTATAGATGGTCATAAATTTGATTTGAATGTTTTTGTGGTGATAACATCAGTGGACCCATTAAGAGTTTATTATTATGGAAAAACTTATCATTTGAGATTTTGTAGCAAACCATACGATCCGAATAATTTTGATGACGTAGACACCTATGCTATCTCTGACAGTCACATTGTAGGTTCAAAGTTTCCATTTGTACAAACATTTATTAATAATTCTTATTCAGCAAAAGATGCAGTTCACACGTATTTAAAAGACAAAGGTTTGGATCCTCAAATTGTTGATGATCAGATAGAAGATTGCATAAGAAAAATCATTCTAATGAAGGAACCAAAATTCATTCAAGCGATTAAAGCTACGTCTGGAGCTCATGGAAAAAATCACTTTTTCGAATTTGTTCGATTTGATTTTATTCTCGATTCAAAACTTCAATTGTATTTAATGGAAGTCAACATGAGTCCTAATTTTATACCCTACAAGTCAGCAGATTACAAATCAATTTTTGACAACATCGCATTTAATGTTCTTTCACTTGTGGGCTTTGAAGGCAGCTTGAATGGTTCACGTGTTAGAAATGTGTTGAATGATGATTTGTTTTGTCAAAAAGATTGTTTAACAGTTCTTCCAGAAATGTGCTTAAAGAAACCATGTAATGAGTCATGTGATGACTCAGAATGCGATTTATGTTTTAATTGCATGGATGAGTTCATAATTGAAGATTTAAAATTGGCATATTATGAACACATGAGAATTGGAGACTTTGTTCGTGTCATTCCACCTTCAAACGTGAGTATTGAAAAAAAATTAGAAGATTGAAACATTTTCAAGCTTTTTCTAATGTCGATCAAAGCTTTGATATTTAAGCCGTTTTCACATTTTGAAATTCAAATTAACTCATAGTTTTATACTATTTATTAATAATTAAAGGAAAGCATGATGAGTGACAGA